TGCGTGGGTTGATGTGGGTCTACTTCCTGGGTTCTAGGGCGAGGGCGTGGGTTTGAGGGGGCCGGTGCGGTGTGGATCGGTTAGGCTCTGAGTTGGGGGTTACAAGCAGCAGCCACATTAGGACTGGATTGTGTCACTGTTGTGGGTGTTGGCAGGGCGGCTTGATGTGAAGTGATTCGGGTCATATGAGTGGGTCAGACAGGGGCCAACGAGCGATCCAGTCGTTGCAAGAGGTCGTGGGCGTCGACAGGCGACCAGCGCCGGCAGCGGGGGGCCAGGCGAGGCGAATGCGGCTGCGGCTGCGCGGGCGGGACCGGCTACCGGGGGGCCGGTGCTCCATGCTGACCTGGCGCAGCGCGAGGGGCGGCAGCTGCTGCACGGCCACGATGCCTAGGGTGGGGTGCACCGCGACCGACGACACCGACGGCGCCAGCACGCGGCCTGCGCGGGCGGGCGCAAGGGGGGGCGCGGCAGGCGGGGGCCGGCTCGGGTCTCACAACAGTCGGCACAAGTGTTGTGTTGGAATGGGAGGATATCACGAATGTCGACTGCACAGGTGCAGGGTATATCCTCCCTCGTCCCCACTTGCAAGACTCCGGTGAGCAGCCCCAAACAGAACGTCGGCAGCACCCACCCAGCAGGAAGTTTTTGCTGCCATCGTCCGCAACAGCCGCCGCCATGGGCGCCCACAGGTCCTGCCACGACGCCGCACTGCCGCCGCCGGCGGCACCGCCTGCGGCGCCAGCCTGGGGGGGGCGGGACGTGGCCGGCGCCGCCGCCGCTCCGCCGTCGGGTGCAGCGGCGAGGGTAGGCATCTCGACTGGGACGGCCGCCAGCACGATGCGGCCTGGACAACCAGGCAATGTTAAGAGAGGCGGGTTGACTTGTCTCAGCTTGAGACCAAATCAAGAATTTATTGAGGGTGCTGTTAGGCTGCGCCGCCCGCCGGCTGGTGGGGTGGTTGCGGAGGCGCCGGTTGCATGGCGCTTCTGCGACCGACGCCGGCTGCAGGCAATTTGCGAAGAGATCGCGCGTCCGTTTCTCGGGCGGCACGCAGGGAAGCGGGCAGCGCGGCGCGTCGGAAAGGGCGCCCCGAGGCCGCCGCTGCCGCCGCCGCCGCGCACCTTCCCGTGACGCGCCCGCCGCCGCGGCGGTCGCATCGGCGCCCGTGGGGCCGGCCGCCGCGCCCGCAGGCGTCCCGGATGCGCTCATGGAGTACATCTGCCATCCCAGGGCGCCGACCTCCCCATCAGGCAACAGGGTGAACGCCAGCAGGGTGTTGGAGTCCTGTTTAGGCGGGAAGGTTGTTTTTTGTTGCGCCCGGGCGGCAGGCAGGGCGGAGAGCGGGGCCGCGCGCCGCGGGCTCGGGCCAGCCGACTGCCAGGGGCGGCATGGACGCGGCTGCAGTGGGGAGCACGGACGGGGAGCGTCCTGGTCGCCGGCCGCACGCGCCCGGCGGGGGCGGGCCCGCTTCGCGGGTGGGCGGGCGCAGCGCCCTCGCACTTGGGGCGCGGGCGCACCCTGTGCACGCCCATGCCGACGACCGCGCGCCCGCCCGGCGCGCGCGCGCGCAGCAGCAGCCGCGGCTCGTCGCGCCCGGCCAGCTCGAACGCCATGATGCCGCCGTTCTGGGTGCCGTAGAGCAGCAGCGCGGCGCCCGGGATGAAGGGGTGCTTGTGGCCCTCAAGCAGGCACGCGGCCAGGGACACGCGGCCCGCCAGAGAGTCAACTGCAGGCGTGGGGGCGCGTCCCGCGGGGGACGAAGAAGGGGGGTGCGGCGAGGCTTAAGCACCGCTGCCTGTGCTGAGATGTTGCACAAATAGGGCCATGCTGTCAGAGGATACAGAACGCGGCGCACCAGCACGGCCGACCCCTCGCCCCTGCCGTTGCAGGCCTATCCTGCCCGCCGCCGGCGCCGCCCCGCCCACCCGGCAGCGTGAACGTCGGCACGAGCCCGCCCTGCCCCAGCGCGTAGCCCCTCAGCGCGCCGTCCCCGAACAGCGCCACCAGCTGCTGCTCCCGCGGGTGCGCCGCCAGGCCTATGACCGGCTTCTTCAAGTCGAGCCGCAGCTTGACGCCCCACTTGAGCTTCTCGGCCTGCTTGCGGCCCTCCATTCCTGGGACCACCATGCGGATCGAGTCCTTGCCGTGGCGTGTGAAGAAGACGACAGGGCGGGAGCCCTGGGCGGCGGCCCGGGGGAGGGG